TGGATGGAAATAGAAAACACTATCCTGAGTGAGGTAAGCCAGACCCAAAAAGAGGAACATGGGATGTACTCACTCATATTTGGTTTCTAGCCATAAATAAAGGACATTGAGCCTATAATTCGGGTTCTTAGAGAAGCTAAATAAGAAGGAGAACCCAAAGAAAATCATATAGGCATCCTCCTGAATATTAACCTTCATCAGGCGATGAAAGGAGACAGAGACAGAGACCCACATTGGAGCACCGGACTGAAATCTCAAGGTCCAAATCAGGAGCAGAAGGAGAGCGAACATGAGCAAGGAACTCAGGACTGCGAGGGGTCCACCCACACACTGAGACAATGGAGATGCTCTATCGGGAACTCACCAAGGCCAGCTGACCTGGGTCTGAAAAAGCCTGGGTTAAAACAGGTCTCACTGAACATAGCGGACAATGAGGACTACTGAGACATCAAGAACAATGGCAATGGGTTTTTGATCCTACTGCATGTATAGGCTTTGTGGGAGCCTAGGATGTTTGGATGCTCACCTTACGAGACCTGGACAGAGGAGGGTTTTCCTTGGACTTCCCACGGGATGGAGAGCCCTGATTGCTCTTTGGGCTGACGAGGGAGGGGGAATTGATTGGGGGAGGGGGAGGGAAAGGGGAGGCGGAGGTGGGGAAGAGACATAAATATTTAATAAATAAATAAATTAATTAATTAAAAAACATAAAAAACCTAAAAAAAAAGTAGCATTAGAGAGAGCAGAGAAAGAATAAATATATTCTGACATGATAAAAAAAAAACCAACTTGGTAACTGGTGTGGGTTCAAATTTCAGAAGTCTAACATCAGGCAATTTATTTTAGACATTTTTTAAAAACTGATTTTTTATTTCCTGTGCATTGATGTTTTGCCTGCATGCATGTCTGTGTGAGGGTGTTAGGAATCGAACCAAGTTCTCTCAAAGAGCAGCCAGTGCTCGTAACTACTAAGCCATATCTCCAGGCCCTGTTTTAGGCATTTTAATCACAGTATAATTTGGAAAAGTTTTCTGGTGTAACATAATCCTGTGCGCACAATAAAATTTAAGGCATAATTACATTTAAACTCTTTCCAGAGTACATGCCACCTCTTCCATGAAGATGGGTTCTATAGCAGACTACATGTGTCATCTAAAGTGTTGGCAGAGGACCTGGTGTGGTCTCGGTCATAAGGATAGCACAGAGATCACATAGGCTATTATCCTCCTCTGGTCCTATTTGTAATAGTCTGGGGAAGCTAGAATCAGCTGAGCTCAGTCATACAGATACTGCAAAGGTCACCAAGCTGTTAACCATATCCATTCCCAACCTTCTGGGCAGAAAAAAAGGTTATACAGCTCTTCCTATGAGAGACAACCCTGCCTGTTAACATTCCTGGTCCCTCTGGTGCTTATCTGTGAGCACAAGGATCACATGCCCTTTACAAGTTAGAATTCTTCGATGCACACATCTCTTCATGTTTATCTTTACACTTTAAGGCTATTATCTTTAAATCTCACATCTTCCTTTTTATTTAAAGACTGCTAACTATATTAAAATAAAATTTTCCTATAGTTTCAGTCACATTTATGACAATTTAGTACTTTCAGATTCTAAGATATGCTGAGTAAACTCTGATCCATGAGAAACATAAGTAGAGGAATCTCTGCTACATCGTTTTAAGGGCAACCTGGGCTACCTTAGAGCCTGTCTGAAAAAAAAAAAAACAGGAACAGAAACCTTTCAGCACTCTCACAAGATGAATGATTGTAGAATATTATTTAAGATATGTTACATTTGTTTATGCTGTGAAACATTTGTTAAGATGTGTTGCATTTGTTTAACTCTGTGAAGTGGTGTTACTTTGCCTGTCTAAAACACCTGATTGGACTAAGAAAGAACTGAATGGCCAATTGCCAATTGCAAGGCAGGAGAGAGGGCTGGCGGGCAGAGAGAATAAGGAGGAGAAATCTGGGAGGAAAAGATCAAGGAGCAAAAGGAGAAGAGAGGAGGACTCCAGGGACCAGCCACCAAACTACACAGCAATCCACAGATTGGCTTTTGTTTTGTTTTTACTTTGTCTTTCAGGCAGTGCTCGGATAGCCCAAGCTGGTCTTGAGCATATTAAGGATGACCGTGTACTCCTAGTCCTCCTGCCTGTGCCTCCCTGCTGTTGTGACTGACAGCGGTGAGCCACCACACCAACCAAGCATCTCTTGTTTCTTCTGCTACAGATCAGGTAGTAATTACATTTTCCCAAAGAACAAACACATCCCTAACTGACGAATTTCACTAATTGCTGAAGGCAGAGAGCACTCTCCAAATCACCCACCAAACACATACTGAGAAAAACATGGAAATACGGAAACAAACTCTCAAATTAGTTCTTACAAAAATTTTCACCAGGGGGAGGAAAGATGGCTCAGCAGTTAAGATCATCAACTGCTCTTCCAGAGGACACAGGTTCAATTCCCAGCACCCACAGGGCAGCTAACTACTGTATTGCCTATAACTCCAAGATCTGACACCCTCACACAAATATACATGCAGGCAAACACCAATGCATGTAAAATAAAAATTATTTTTTTTTCACCAGCTCTCAAATGGTCTAATTCTCACCACACTATGATATAGATAAGACAGTAACTTGTTAGTTTTCCCTCAAATGAAAATGACCAATAAGGTACTAATTATACATAGCTTTTAATTACAAAGGCATAGTAAAGCATCAATGCATTTTTGCAAAGTTGAGGAATGGCCAGAGAATATTATGTTAGTCTTTCTTCCCTCTTTCCCTGACCCAGTTCACCATTTCTTCTTCCCTCCTCTCCTTTGAATAACTCCTGGGCAAGAGCTGTGCCACTGAGCTACATCCCAACCCCCTAAGTACATTCAGTGTCTATATATTTACACATATTACATATAACTATTTACATATATTTGTGTGTATGTATGTGAAGATAGTATGCATATATGCATATGGATATTCACAGGTATGTGTGTGCACATGGAGGCCAAAGGTTGACATATGATGTCTTTCTTTGATCTCTCTCCACATTGCTAGTTGACTTAGCCATTGTTGTATTGCTGTGAAGAGACACCATGGACACAGCAGCTCTTAGAAAGGAAAATATTTGCTAGGCGGTGATGGCGCACGCCTTTAATACCAGGCAGAGAAAGGTAGATCTCTGTGAGTTCAAGGCCAGCTCGGTCTACAAGAACTAGTTCCAGGACAGGCTCCAAAGCTACAGAGAAACCTTGTCTTGAAAACCCAAAATAAAGAAAGCATTAAATTGGGGCTTGGTGCTTACTTACAGTTCCAGAGGTTTGGTCCATAATTGTGTTACACTTAGCCCATTATGCTCCATGTAGAAGGAAAGAGACTGCACTTGCAGGTTCCAAAGATTTTATTAAATCACCACATAATCTGACTAATCAGGGCTGCAGGACAAGGACTCTCCTAACAGCACTAAGTAAGGGCAGTAGTGGCGAAAATAATCTATCAGTGAAATCACAAATATCTGTTGCCAAGTTACAGTTACAATTTTCACCAATCAGGATTAGGGGCTTCCTTGAATGTATGTTCCATCATTGTATTAATATACAATGCAAGGCTTTCAGTCCAACCAGTCAGAGTCATTGTTCTTCCTGTGGTTAGGAACAGCCACAATGTTTCTAAGGAGCTAAAGGTGTACAACCAGAGGACACATGTTTCTGTGGTTTAGGGAGGAGGCAGGTCAGCCATTGGAAAGTTCTCAGTTCCCCTAGGGCTTGGGAACCTGAACTTTCTTTCACCTTGCAAGTAAAATCGAGTCTGAAGACAAAATGGCAGTATTTGGGCCAAGGTGCTTTTCCTGCACCCTTCAGCATCTTGGTGGGAAGCAGGGTGGCATGCAGGCAGACATGGATCCACAGACAACAGGAAGAGAGAGACACTGAACCTGACTTGGGCTTCAGAAACCCCAAATCCCGCCTCCAGTGACACACTTCCTCCTCTAGGCCACACCCACTCCAAGGCCACGCCTTCTAATCCTTTCAAAGAGTGCCCTCCCTGAGGAGTAAGCGTTCAAATCCATTCAAACACTACATTGATACAATATCTCCTGCTGAACCCTGAGTTCTTGCTCCAGAGAATCCCATTTCCATCTTCTGAGCACTGAGATTATAGGCAGACCACCACAGCCACCCAACTTTCAAAAGCATACAGTCATCAAGAATTGTTCTTACTGCTACCCTAATGCAAAGGGCATTAATACCCTTTATAGTTCAATAACTTAGACACCTAGAAGGTGCATGCTCATAATTTATACCAACATATCACAAACCATATAAATTATTTGCTTAGAAATTTAAGTATGAATTCTAAAAATGTTCTTAAATATACATTCTCCAGACAAACTCAGAAGTCAGTGTTTGTCATCTTAGCATCTGTCGAGTATGCCGTATTGGCAGTGGAACCATAGGCAATCTGTAGGCGAGACTGCTGAAATGTCTATCTTTGTGGTTTGGGGACAGGGACTTGCTGTTTTGTCCAGTTTGGTCTTGAACTCCTGGGCTGGAGTGATCCTCCTCCATGAGTCTCCTGAGCAGACCGATCACACCTCCCTACCTGGTTATTTACACACTTTGGAAACCTGATGGTGGCTGGCTGAGATGAGACAAGCTGAGTAGATGTGAAAGGCTGGCTGATGCTTCTTGTGTTCACTTTAAAGCACTGAATTATGAAACAATCCTGTTAGCATCCTCGGGTACAGCTAGTGACAGAGCGCTTGCCTTGCATGCACAGGACCTTGGGATCTATCCCTAGTACCACAGACACACAGACACACACACAAGTCAGGCATGGTGGCTCATGTCTGTAGTCCCAGCATTTAGAAAAAGTAATCCTCCCAGAGGCAAGAGGACTAATGCAAACCGTGTACTCGAATACAATATGGATTAGCGTTATTCCTTAGAGAGGAAGGAAATAATTCGTTTTCTAAAATTTTCACTTACTGTAATTAAGAAATCAAATATTTTATTTCCTATATGTAGGAATGAGGGTGCGTTGGTCAATTTTTTCTTTGCAGAGCTGGAAGCTATCAAGCTTGGATGGGAGAACAGTGGGAGAGCAAGGCATGATGGCGCATGCCTATAACCTCAGCATGTGTAAGGCGGAGTTCCAGGGTAGCCTGAGCTACACAAAGAGAGACCCTACCTTTAAAAAATAGATAGTAACAGTAAATATTCTATCCAGAAGATGCCCAACACTGTTCCTTTTCTGAAGATAAAAGCATCTGCTTAAAGAGCATAGGCAAGTGGATCACTGTGAGTTCGAGGCCAGTTCCAGGACAGAAACTCTGCCTCAAAAAAGAAACAAACAAAGAACTTCAGTGTTGATGTAATAAATTATTATCGAGTATCTGGGGAGGATTATTATTCAAATGTCTTGACTGAACTCTATATACATAGGAACTGAACTATAAGGACAAAAGGCAATTTGATCCTAACATGTGTAAGAAATAGCCTGAGAGTTTAGGCTAGAAATATAAACAATCAACACTGGAGGTTTTTTAAAACTCAACTGGCCTTATAATATTAGAATAGAAATATTAATAACTTCAAAATGTCACCTGTCACTTGTAATTTTAGCCAAAGCACCAGAGATGTGAAAACCTGGAAGGAAGACTTTCAGGCTGGAATGAATGGGTAAGGTTTGGATAACAGTTAAAAAAAATCATTGATAATTTCAAAACAAGTTGGCCTATGGAAAAGGAATTCTTCATGATGGAACCCATAATAACTGGTTGGTGACGCAGGCCTGCTGCAGGTGACCGAGAGCAATGGAGACACAAAACCGAGTCTCTACGGGAGTCCTGGATTCCTCACTCCTCTGGAGGCCTGTCACTCGCCTCCTTCCTGCTAAAGAGGATGAACACGGACTTCACTGTGCCATCACCGCTCTGCTGGGAAAAGCACAGGAAGGTGGCCCAGAGGAAACCGCACAGTCCTGTGTACGCTGTTCTCCAGTGCACAGGGACAAGGCTGAAGTTGGTCAGCTGTAGTGTAGAAAGAGTCTGTTAGGAATGCACAACAGGTAAGTTTCTTTTGGGTTTTGTTTTTATTCCATGCTAGGGACTGAACTTTTGACCCAGCACATGACAGGCAAATGCTCTACCAATGAGCTAAGGCCCAGCCACAGATTCTCTTTTATTATTGGTTGTGAGCCTAGCCTTTAATGGCTAAGCCATCTCTCCAGCCTCCAGCCCCAGATTCGCTATAGCTTGGCACTCACCTGCACAAAGGGCCAGTACATCAGACCACTCTGGAATAAAGAAAGCCCACATTAGAATGCTGTCTAGTTACAAAACAAAAGCAGAGTTCATTCTATAAGACACTAGAAATGTCAGGCATGTAGGCTGCCCAGCAAGGACTGGATTGTACTCTGAGCTGATGAAATGGAGACTTTCTGACACAAGGCGAATAGAGCAGGTGGAGACTTAGGGCACAGCTTGTAACTGAGGACACCTTTTGTTAGCTATAAGAGTGGAATGAAAAGTCAGCATGAGATTCTGGAAGCAAAAGACACTTTAAAATAATCACATGTATTTATATATTATAATTTCCAAGTGAGTATCAGAATATAATATATATATTTTTTTAATTATTTATTTATTATTTATACAGTTAGCCAGAAGAGGGCACCAGACCTCATTATATATGATTGTGGGCCACCATGTGGTTGCTGGGAATTGAACTCAGGACCTTTGGAAGAGCAGGCAATGCTTTCAACCGCTGAGCCATCTCTCCAGCCCCATATTATATGTTTTTTATTAGTGAATTCTTCAAAGTATATTCTAAATCAAAAGAAATTTTTTTCTGAGATAGGGCCTCACTTTAATGGCTGAGCCATCTCTCCAGTGTCATTGGTTGGCCTGGAGTTTGGCCCACACTATAAATCAGGCTGCCTTAGAATTCACAGAGATCCGCCTGCCTCTGTCTCCCACTGCTGGGACAAAAAGGCATGTGTTACCGCACCTGGCTAATCCAAACAGCTCTTGTTTGTTTGTTTTTGTTTTTCAAGACAAGGTTTCACTGTATAGCTTTGACTGTCCCGGAACTTGCTTTGTAGAGCAGGCTGGCCTCAGACTCAGAGATCTGCCTGCCTCTGCCTCCTGAGTGAATGCTATCTCTTGGTACAGAACAAGATTAGCTGACATTACAAAATTTCTTCTTACATATATTTTGTGTGTGTGTGTGTGTGTGTGTGTGTGTGTGTGTGTGTGTGTGTAGGTAGGTAGGTAGGTAGGTCGGAAGATACTTGTAGAAGTCTTTGAGACTGAACTCAAGTTCTCAGACCTGGTGGCAAGCCCCCTTACCTACTGAGTCATCTTGAAAACATCTTAATTTTTAAAATCATTTTTTTATTTTTTGTAATTGGGTCTTGCTCTGTAGTTCGGTTTGGTCTCAAACTAATAGTAGTCCTCCTGCCTCAGCCTCCTGAGTGCTGGGGTTATAAGTATGAGCCACTACAAATATATATATGAGGGGCTGGAGAGATGGCTCAGTGGTTAAGAGCATTGCCTGCTCTTCCAAAGGTCCTGAGTTCAATTCCTGGCAACCACATGTTGGCTCACAACCATCTGTAATGAGATCTGATGCCCCCTTCTGGTGTGCAGGTATGTATGCAAAGTACTTCTACATAAATAAAATTAAAAAATAAAATATATACATGAGCCAGTTGGCAAATCTTTAATTCTAGCACTTGGGAGGTAGAGTATGTATGGTGTGTGTGTGTGTGTGTGTGTGTGTGTGTGTGTGAAAGACAGGATTCTTTCTGCAGGAACACAGAAATCAGCTTGAAGGACCTTCCACTAGCCAACTCTGGAATGCCTGCAAGCATCAAAATTAATTAAACATCATAATGAATTATAAACTGCTGGAAGAAAAAAAAGAACCCCAGAGTACACACCCACCAACCATAAAGAAGACCCCCAAAGTACACACCCACCATAAAGAAGACCCCAGAGTACACACCCACCATAAAGAAGACCCCAGAGTACACACCCACCATAAAGAGACCCCAGAGTACATACCCACCATAAAGAAGACCCCAGAGTACATACCCACCATAAAGAAGTGGACAGAAGAGCCCGCCCTTGCTCACAGTCCAAAGCTGAGTGGCACCTGGTGAACACCAGGGCCGGGAAGACTCACCACACAGTGCCCAGCACAGCAGGGTAGTCAGAAATGGTGCAGAGGTTAAGCTGTGCACAAGTACCTAGCATGCACAAGACCCTGGATGATAGCCCCAGCACTGTAGGAAAGAGGGAAGGTGAAGGAAGGGGGAATAGAAGGGAAGGAAATGGTAGGGGAAAGAAAATGGAGGGGAAAGAGGCTCAGACTGCTTGGAAGATTGTGTGATACCAGCTACTTGGGAAACTGAGCAGGAGGATTGCAAGTTCTACATCTGCCTAGGAAACTTAGTGAGTCCCTTCCTCAAAAATGATTGGTAAAATAAAGCTTGGTATAACTCATGGGTAGCACGCACATCTAGCATGCTTGGGGTCCACTGCAAAAAAAAAAAAAGTAAATAGGGCTGAGGATATGGTTCAGTTGGCAGAATGTTTGCCTAGCATCCACAAATCTCTGGGTTCAAGTCTCAGCTACATAATGAACTCAAGGATAGCCTTAGCTACATAAGACAATAATTTCAATAATAATAACAATAATAGACTGGGGTAGGTAGGGAGTGATAGGTTACTTGCCTAATGTATGTGAGGACCTGGGTCTAATCCCAGTGCTGGAAAGGAAATAAAGACATAAGGCATGCCAAGAATCCTAGATCTTGCACCCAAGGCAGTACTAAGGGAAGAACTGCCAATTCCGCTTCCTCTTCTTTCTAACATTTGACATACAGCACAGTGTGGTAGCCAACAACGCCTATAATCTCAGCACTCAGGAGGCTGAGGAAGGATTATTGTACATTTGGGGACAAGCCTTGAGTACACAGTAGGTTTGGGCCAGCCTGGGCTACACAGTGAGACCTTGTTTCAAAACAAACAACAAAATCAATAAATGTTTAAATTAATAAAACATGTCATATGTGTGTATCTCTCTTGAATCTGATATAATGGGAAACCTCACTCCCTTCTAAAATAAAGAACAAGGAAGTCACATTCCAAAGTCGCTGTAGAGGCACAATTTCTACCCCAAGAGAAGTAGAAAGAGTTCTAAACCCCTTCCTTGCAGGAAATGTCTCTAACTATAGGGACTCTGGGGTTCTCTGGCTTCAGATCTCCAGTCTACCTTCAATCATCAAATGGGCATTGCTGGTTCTGGGCTCAGATCCATCCACCAGAAGATCCTGGAAACACTGCAAGTGACAGCTCAATGTGGCTTCATAGTGTCTTGGCTTTTGTGTCTTTAAACTGAGAACCCCTCCACTAAACAAACACTTCTACCTCCAAGCTCTAGCTCTACCCTCAGCACTGCTAAGGTGCTCTACCCCAGACAGAGACTAAGTACATGTAAGACATTAGAAATATATTTTGTGATCCTGACAATTTATCTGATTGTTATTATTAGTTGAATCAGTCTAGTGCTGGGTCAAAGCTGAGAAATGTCACTGACTTTGCCAGGCCTGAAGACAACAAGCCCTCACTGAATGCATGGGTAGTGTTGGTTCAACATAGATCTTTGTCCTGAAGAAAGAACACAGCAGTAGATTTTTTTTTTCGAGACAGGATTTCTCCATAGCTTTTTTGGTTCCTATCCTGGAACTAGCTCTTGTAGACCAGGCTGGCCTCGAACTCACAGAGATCCGCCTGCCTCTGCCTCCCGAGTGCTGGGATTAAAGGCGTGCGCCACCACCCGCCCGGCTCACAGCAGTAGATTTGCTTCACTAGCAATAAGCCTGGGAAACACCTCTGTGACATGGAGAAGGCTCTTTCACAGGACTCAACAGAACACACACATCACTGCACCTTGACTGCCCACTGCCCACAATTCCTGTTTTACAAATAGGTTTGGAAACCTATTGAATAAATTGTGATTGCTGATCAGAATAAATCTAATGAAGTAAGAAATCATCGTGAACACCTGCCTGAATGCAGCGACAGTGTTTATTTCCTGTCCCTGAGAAGCAGATGCACCGACCTACAATCTCAGTTACTTGGGAGGCTTAGGTAGAAAGGTTACGTGAGCCCAAAACTTGTAAACCAGTTTGGGTGACATCATAAGATATTCATTTTCAAATTAAAACAAAACAAAATGTCACAAATTGAGACAATGCTTTTTTGAAATATTGGATTCCCAGATCAACCAAAGTTGATTAAGTCTAACTTAATCATGGTTGTTTTGAGTCCATCCTAGTGGCATAAACCTGTAATTCCATCTCCTCCAGAGGCTGAGGTCCCAGGAGAATCACCAGTTTGAGGGTTGTCTGAGCTACAGTGAACTGAATGCCAATCTGGTCAATTTATAGAGATCATTGCTCAAGAAAGGAAAGAGGGAAGTAGGGAAAGAAAAAGAGAGTGGAAGGGAGGGAAAAAAAGCAGGAAGAAAAGGAAGGGAAAGGGGGAAGAAGGGAAGAGACTGAAAGAAAAGCTAGGTGGGGCAGCAAGATCGCTCAGTGGGGAAAGGAGCTTGCTGCTAAGTCCAAGGACCTGAGTTCAACCTCTGGAATCCACACAGTGAAGGAGAGATCTCCCACACTCCTAAGCCCCATCATTCCACTAGATAAATAACATCACTGTTGGGCGTGCTCATGCACGTGCGTGGAGTTCAGGGACCACTGTGAGAGTCGCCATGTGAGTCCTCAGGCTTGGCAGCAAACTCCTTTACCCACTGAGTCTTCTCAACAAATGTTAAAAATATTTAAAAAGATACGATTAGGTTTTCAAAAGCCAGCCTTACCTTATATGTATTCCAGAATTTTTGCTTCAGGTCCAAAAATATGTCATCCTTTCCCTGGAGAATGCTCATACCTATTGACAGAAACACAGCAGGCGTTCAGAAGCAGAACGACCACTGTCTCATCCCAACAGCATCCAGGCACATCCAGTTCCAACCATTCACTATGCGGCTGTTGACCCAACAGGAAAACAGAAATACCTGTTTTAAAACTGAATTTAAAGGAACACCAAGTAGGAAGTAAGAATAGCCAGGTATAAAAGTTATAGCAGAATTATTCTTTATCTAAACAAAGAATCCACAAAATGCAAACTAATCCTAGCATCGGATAATGAACTCGCTGGTGTCTTTCTAGTTTGTGTTTATTTCACATTTATTTGTTTATTGTGTGTTTGCATTTGCCACTGCCCAAGTGTGGAGGCCAAAGAACAACGTGCCGAGGTCAGTTCTCTTTCCGCCCTGTGGGCTCCACGGTGGTCAGGATTAGGAGCAGGTGTCTTTCCTCACATGTATGTATACCACATGCTGTGGATAAGATTGCAAGCTGCAGTGTAGGTGCTGGAAAGTGAAGCCTGGCCTTTTGCAAGAACAACTGTTCTTAACTGCTGAGTCATCTCTCCAGCCCTGGCTGTCCTGGAACTCACTCTTAGACCAGCCTGGCCTCGAACTCACAGAGTTTCTGCCTCCGAGTGCTGGGATTAAAGGTGTGAGCCAGCTCATTTGTTGTTTTGTGAGACAGGACTTCAAGTATCACAGGTTGGTCTCAAACTCACTATTAGGTAGCCAAAGATGATTTGATTCTCTGTCTCTGCCTCTCACGTGCTGGAAAACTACAGATGGGAACCACCATTCCCAGACATGTGTTGCTGGGAGCAGAGTCCAGAGTCCAAGCCCTCTGCCAACTGAGTTGCAGCCCTGGCACCAACTTTGAAAACAACAACAACAAAAAATTAACCTTTCCCCCTTTTCTTCTCCATCCTTTCCTTTGTTCTTTTTTAGTTGTGCTGGGATTAAACCTGGGGCCTCCAGCATGATAAGCCCACACTCTAACAAACTCTCACCTAACTTCATTCCTTTAAAGATACAAACTACTGGGCCCTGGACATTCCAGCAACTACAATTTTCCCATCAGTATATTCTAACCAGAGTTTAACATTTGAGAAATAGAGCCAGAACCTTACTTTTAAAGGTGTGTAAAAACAACCCTTAAAAATTCTGACAGCCCTGATTGTGCACTTAGGGGGATGGGGGTGGGAATAAGAGTGTGTTATTAGTCAATTACACGAGACAGAACCCAGCAACTGTTGTAGTACTGTGACCTGCTTACCCAGTTAATGCTAAGTCCTTACATCAGCACATCACTTGACCCGCCTTACAGCTAGCTAGTCATGGTGGCACTGGAAAGCTAGCAAGCAAGAAGCTGAGGCAGGAGGACTGCCATGAACACTACACAGCGTGGCTTTGTCTAAAGAAGTGTTTAGCGAGGCGAGCGACAAGCCCATGTCTAGGTGCAGCCCCTGACCATCAGTTTTGAAGGAGCTCATGTTCCCCTTCACTGGAACATGAAGGAGAGAGACTGAACCACAAATCTGGAAGCAAGACGCAGCAAAAATCCAGATGGGTGATATATCAGAAGGCCTCAGGCCTTCACCCTAGGTGTCTCCCACACTCTGGGACAGCACCATGTCCCAGTTTCCTACTATGACTACCAACATCAAGATAAAGAACATGGCTGAAGCCTGGATTATGCTGTCTTCTGGCGAACTTCCAAATCCCTCCATCCATGTCTCCTCATTCTGTAACATGCATGGGAATTGTGAGAGTATCTGCCTTATTATTGTATTCATATTACCTTAGTATTGTGATATCTCAAAGATCCAATAGGAATCTAGCCTGTCAAGTCACAGGACTTGACTAACCCCTTCGTCACTGCACCAAGGGTCAAGCCATCCAGCCCAGCGTGAAGAGAACTCCTTCTCAGGTACACAACCCCCTCCCATTCTCCCTGTGACCCCCTGCCCCTCACCTCAGGGAACTCTTGTTGCTCAAGCAAGACTAAGGCCCTGGAAATCACTTCTCTGTAATCTCAAGTTCCACCCTCTCTGCCCCCAGAGTCACCGATCCCCTCATTTTTGAATTGGTGTATTGGCTGTGTGGTTTTCCCAGAACAGGTGGAGCACAAGGATGCAGCTACTAGGAGGTTAGCTAAGCCAGAGTCTCTTGGATGTATCCTTTTCTGGAGGAAAACAGACCCCACGCTCACTTACTCACTCATTCTTGAACACCTTAGCATCTCAGCTCTGACACCAACCCACTGAATCCCTGGCACGCTGGATCTCCAGTTTTCCAGCCAGCAGCCCCCAAATTCTTCCCCATGGAAACCTTAAATCCCCTAATATCCAGTCCTCCTGTTGCTGCTTCAAGGCCTCGTTCCAGCCCCGGCTCCCTGGCCGCAGAGTTGTCACCTCCTGCCTCAGCCCCAGTGGTTTCTGATCTCCGGTCTCCGCGATCCCCAATCTTCCCCACTCCCCGAGCCTCCTGCCGGGCCTGTAGTGCCCCATCCCAGACTCCAATCTGTGCCTTGGCCCCTCACCGACGTAGAAGGCCGACAGGACAATGGGCCCACCGACAGTCTGGTCGCACAGCACCTTGGCCAGAACCGTGCGCGGCGCGCGGCCCGGCAGCGCGCGCTCCAGAAGACGCAGCCACACATAATTGAAGTTGCCGTGGAAGGTTACTGCCAGGGTGGCCACGCGGCGCGTCTGGCGCCAGTCGGCCGGGCCTCCCCGCAGCCGCTGCTGCAGCGCATCACCCGCCGAGAAGAGGCCGGCGTAGAGCAGCACGTTGGTGGGCCACGGATAGCGCTGCGCCGCGCGTGGAAACACACGCCACCAACTCGCCATACCGCCCAGGGTGCCTTCCGCTCCTGCACACCTGACTGAGCCGCAGGAGCCAGGGCGATTGGACACCACTATGCACACCCAGCCCGCGTGCCCAATCCCGTCACGGTTGGCCATCGGGAGGGCGGAGCCTCTGCAGCATAAGGGGGCCACCCAGTTTGGGCAATTTACAAGAAATCTCCAGAAGAAGGAGAGGCGCCCAGACAAAAAGCAGAAATGTCATTACCAAAGACCGGGCGTTGTAAGAACTGTGGCTGCCACCGGGGCATTCATTGGTGATGACCTCGCGACTTTGTGAATATGCCAAAAACCAGTGGCTCCTACACTTTAAAATCGAAATTTGTTTGTTTGAAACGGATCTCATGTGTTCCAAACTGAGCCCCAACTCCGTATTTAGCTGAGGACGACTTTCAACTCCCATTCTTCTGCCTCCACTTTCCATGTTCTGAGATTACAGGTTTGGGCCACAGGGTCCAACTTAAAGTGGACTTAAATTTTGTGACACGTGAATCCTATTTCTAAAGATGTGGGGCTGAAACGAAGCTCTGTAGTAGTGCAGAAAGCCCCGGCTTCAGTTTCCCACTATTGCAATAAAAATGAAGAAAGCAAGCTAGCTCTGCTACCAAAGTGTCAATGTACTTGAGATGCTTGTATGCAGGGAATTCATTCTTTTAGCACACAACACGTTGCCTTTCTACATCACTACGGGCCAAATGTCAAAGGTTAGGCTGAGACATTTCCTGAATGAAATAGTATTGGATGATGTACCGACTACTCTCCCCACTTCAGCTTGTGTCTCAGTGACCCCTGCCACCCCCAAACAGGTTTGGAGACCTATGGTACCTGCTCCAAAAGCAAAGGTGAGAGGGTATATGGGCAGCAGTTAGAAACTCTGACGTTCTGCAACCCATTTGACCCTTTTCCTGCCTGTTCCTCCTTCCTTGATAGCCAGTCTCTCATTCAGTATTGCTCCTGTCTTGTTTGTTCAACATATTAATTTTTCCTTTCTTTAAAAAAATCTAACTCCTTTTAAAGGATATTTTCTTTTGTTTATATTTTTGATTTTTATTTTTAGTGTGTGTGTTGCCTGCACATTAATATCACGCCAGGTTTCCACAGAGTCACACACATCATTTGCTACCACGGGGGTGCTGGAATTAAACTTGGGTCCTCGAGTGGTGAAGGGCAGTTCTCTCCTTCCACTTCGTAAGTCCTGGGATTGAATTCAGGCAGTCAGACTTGGAGACAAGTGCCTTAATCTTTTAAATCCTCTCACTAACTCAATGTTTTAATTTTGAAATAATTCCAGACTTCAAAATATGTAGCAAAATTATACAAAGGAAGCTGGATGTGATGGCAGACCTTGTCATTCCTGTACTTGGGATAGGAGCTGCTGAGGCCACCCTAGGCTATATTACAAAATGCCATCTGAAGAAAACAAAAACAAAAAATACAAAGAATTCCCACATACCTTTGACCTTTTGTTTTGTTTGCGTCCAGGGCTCATGTAACCTAGCCTCATCTTCCTAATCCTCCTGCTTCTGCCACAGTGCCCAGCCACCACACACTCTCTCCCAATCTCCCAATCCTCCCCACGTGTTGACATCTTGCATAACCATAGTAAGATTATCCAAACAAGGAAATAGGAGCTGTTGTAATAGAGTTACCCATTTACATGCTGATCTTCCTTAAGTTGGTGCCAGAAAGTCCCTTTCTCTCACCCCGAGCTGCTGCACTGCTGACCACTTCGGTCTGAATCATAGACCAGTTCTCTAAGATTGTTCCTACCTATGAGCTATTTTTCTAAGCTGAATTGTCTCCTAGCCTGATTTATACATTGAAACCATAACTCTTGGTACTTAAGAATGTGACTATATTTGGAAACAAAGACCTTACAGAAGTGACCCAGTAAAAATGAGGTCATGAAATAGACAAGACAATCTGTATGGTGTCTTCATAAGAGGAAATAGACTTATCAAAAGACACCATAGTGGATTCACACAGAAGAAAAACTATGGGTGGCTGGCTATTTGGACTGGTTACGGTGACCTTGTTTGTATTTCTACTTGAGAGGTAGAGGCATAGAGTTAAGAGTTCAAGATTAGTATCGACTACACAGTGAATGAGTTTGAGGCCAGCCTGGACCATATAGACTCTGACTTTAAAAACAAAAATGCACGCCTTTAATCCCAGCACTCGGGAGGCAGAGGCAGGCGGATCTCTGTGAGTTCGAGACCAGCCTGGTCTACAAGAGCTAGTTCCAGGACAGGCTCCAAAACCTCAGAGAAACCCTGTCTCGAAAAAAAAAAAAAAAAAAGGGGGGGGCTGGAGAGATGGCTCAGCGGGTAAGAGCATTGCCTGCTCTTCCAAAGGTCCTGAGTTCAATTCCCGTCAACCACATGATGGCTCACAACCATCTGTAATGAGATCTGGTGCACCCTTCTGGCCTGCAGACACACACAGACAGAATATTGTATACATAATAAATAAATAAATATTTAAAAAAATGGAGGACAGCAAGATGGCTTGGGGGGAAAGCTACTTTCTCCAGAACGCACATGGTAGAAGGAGGAAATTGTAGGAATTTGACGCCTACAAATTGTCCTATGACCTTCCCACATGCCATGCCATGTCCACTTGTATATACATACACACAGAGAGAAAGACACAGACACAGAGAAGCAGCAGAGAAAAAACTGAAAAGGAAGAAGGAAGTGGGGGAGAGGAGACCTAAAAGGAATGGGAGAAGGTGATACTCTGTGTCTATAAGCCAAAGAAAGGGTTCAGAATAGAGCTAGCTTGACCTTGGCCTTCCACCTTCCCAAACTATAAGAAAATATATTTCTATTGACCCTAGTCTGCAATATCATTACCACAGTGTACAGAAACGAATTCAGCCCCTGGGACTCTGCCAGTGCCTGTGCCTTGACTTTCCGTACTGCCCACTCACCGGTTTCCAGGGCTCTCATTCTTCTACCACTGGTCCTAAGTGAATCTGTCAGCTTTTCCCCAGCTCAGCAACATATCTGTTTATTACTTATGTTATGTGTTATGTCTTAGTTATGGTTTTTATTGTATGATGAAACACTATGATCAAAAAGCAAGTTGAGGAATGTCTTAATTTGGGGTTCTATTGCTGCAAGGAGACACCATGACCACAGCTCATGTGGGAGGTCCCTCTATCTATGTGTTGTTTTTATTGGTTAAAGAATAAAGCTGCTTTTGGAAAATGGCTAACAGAGTAAAGCTAGGCAGGAAATCCAAACAGAGATGCAGAGAGAGTAGACAGAGTCAGAGAAAAGCCATGTAGCTGCCACAGGAGACAGACACCTCTGCTGGAGCCCACTGAAACTTTGGCAGTAGGCCACGACCTTGTGGTGATACACAAATTAATGGAGATGGGCTAGTTTAGGATATAAGAGCTAGCTAAAAAATACGCTTAAGCTTTTGGCCAAACTGTATTGCAAATAATATTGTTTCTGTGTGATTATTTCGGGTGTTAGTAGCTGGGAACAAATGAATAGCCTCTGACTATAGATTTCAGGAGTCTGGATGGCCAGGAAACAAATGAGTAGCCTCCGTCAATACACAGCAACTCTTTTTTGAAAAAAAAAAAGAATTATGGTTTATTTAACTTTATTTTATGTGCATTGGTATAAAGGTGTTAGATCCCCCGGAACTGGATCTTCAGACAGTGTGAGCTGCCATGTGGGTGCTGGGAATTGAACCCAGGTCCTCTGGAAGAAAAGTCAATGCTCTTAACCATTGAGCCATCTCTCCAGCCCCCCATAACAATTCTTTTAAAGGAAAAAAAATTTTTTTGCCTCAAAACTTGTTTAATTAAATATGTGTATAATTTTAGTTATGTACAAATAAACTGTTGATATGCTTACACAGTGTAGTGTTTGAAAGAAAATGACCCCCAAAGGGAGTGGCACTAATGGGAAGTAAAGTTTTGTTGGAGTAGGTGTGGTCTTGTTGGAGGAAATGTATCACTGTAGGGGTGGGCTTTGAGGTCTCCCATGGTCAAGCTATACAGTGAGACAGTTCAGTTCCTGTTGCCTGCTGATCAAGGTGTAGGCTTCTCAGTACCAGCACCCTCTGTGCCTGCATGCCACCATGTCGCCATCATGGACTAAACCACTGAAACTATAATCCACTTCATTAAATGTTTTCTTTTACAGGAGGTGCTGTGGTCATGGTGTCACTTCACAGCAAAAAAAAAAAAAAAAAAAAAA